GATGCTAATTAAGAGGGACAAATATTTATTTGTGTGTGTAATGTTTGCAGCATCTCAGTTGCTTATGTTCAAACAAACCAAGAAAACCTCAAAACAAAAACATTAAAGCCAAGTACTTGAAATTATGTTGCAAATCCTCAAATATCATGGAGGTAGCTGAGCTGCTTTTAGGAGAACCAGAGCATCTGTCCTCCGGGAGAGATGTCTGGCCTTTGAATTTCAGAAATTTAGGTGACGGGGATTCAGATGGTCACGGTTTGCCTCTATGTCCAAAGGGTTTGTATTCAGTTTTGTGGCGAGCTGAAGGATTAGCAGAGCATTTGCTTTCTGAAGTAGGCTGGTTTGTTTTGTTCTGATCTGATAAAACACAACATTTCAAGAAGGCTTAGCTTCTTCTTTTCTAAGTAATAGAAAAGCTTATGCAAGCAATATACATTCAGCATTTGAGTGCATACTGGAATATTCTAAGGCCCTGTCTTTGAATATATGATTAACATATAAAGTACCTTCCTTCTCACTAATCTGTGTTTCCAAAGAGGTGGGCACCCTAGAAAGCTTGACCACCCATGTCCTTTTGGAGGAAGACAGGAATGAGATGAGAGGCAATGGACACAAGCTGCAACATTCCAACTAGGTGAGAGGATAAAATGAGCATAAAGGCCCACTAGGTAGTAGGATAAATCTTTCAGCATGAGGCTAGTCAAGCCCACAGAAGCTGTAGGATTTCCATCCTTGGAGGTACTCAAACTCAAGTGGACAAGGCCCTGAGCAACCTCATCTAAGTTAACCCTGAGGTGAGCAGGGCATTGGGTCAAGTGACCTCTGTAAGTTCTTTCCAACATTTTTATTTTTGTTTCCAGAGGAAACACACTTCTTCCCTAGCTAAGTGCAGAAGAGTGTTTATGGATACTGGAGATTACTGCATCCTAGACGAAGATATCTGTAAAACCAGAACGCAGTGTACTAAAATCTTCTCAAGACAGCTTGAACTGAATTTAACTGATCTGTTTAAATGTACAGTTTTTGCTTGTTCGTTTGGAGGAGGAATTTGCATTTATTTCCATTTGGACCAAGTTACAAATGCAGATATTATCAAAGCATGCAAATTTAATTAGGAAGTAATTAAAGAGCAAAGTAGTACCAAGTGCATACTAAAATCTCCTTGTTCCTTTTTTCGAGGGTAATTTTGGCTTTGGTTTAACATCAACGCTCCAGTGACTACTTTCTTGTGGGACAGAGGTCAGGGTTTGTGAGAAGTCATCCTGCCCCTTCCAAACACCTTGCAGCACTAGACAAGACTTTGATCCTTTCAACAGAACCTGCCTACCTTAAACGGGGTTGGCTTTGTTTCTTTGACTCCTGTTGCTTGATTTATGAAGGTTGGAATTGTTGGTGTTGAACTCGCCTTGCTTTTCAAGTGCCAAATTGTTTCAAAAAGAGATTTGTGTTGTGTTGGGAGCCCTTTGGCTCCCATGAGTACGTGATGCTTCTGAAGAGACGTTAATGCTGGGGTAACACAAGTGGTTTCTTTAAGGTGATGTCTCCTTTTACTGAACCCAGCTGGCACATTGTGCTTTTCTGCCTGGTGCTTTTGCTGTGTTGGGAAGAATTGGGCTGGAACACAAGCCATAAAAGACCAGAATTATTCAGGTAAGAAGGGTCTGCTGTCTGAAAGGCCCAGGAGAGAGCACGGTGCCTGTCTGGCTCAAAAGGCATCATCTCTCTGTATTGCCCATGGTTTTATGTTGAAATGCTTTGTAGCTTGATTGCTTTAGCTCTTAGGTGACTTGGGTGCCAAGAAGAAGGTTTTAAAATTTGAATCTGATAAAGTAACTGCAATGTTCCATCCTGATCACTCTGCTTTATGGTGGTCCTGCGCTTTGCTGTAGGGATTGAACATATCTACATTTTGCAGCTTGTCCCAGATTTTGTTTTCTTTCAGAGTGGGATATCTTGTATGTTTTCCTTCTGAAAATAGAGTTGACTGTTGAAAATATAAGCTAAAGTCATTCACATTATTTCACCTGAGTTATAATGCAGATTACCTGCTTAGTGTTTTTTAATACGTGTGAGATGGAGATATAATGTGCTTATAGTGCTTCTCTGTTCTGACATGTATTTTGTTGTGATATTTTCAGGATTTTGTGTTCTGCAACATGTTTTCTTGCATAGTCCTAAAGCAAAGAGATTTGAGACGTACATGACTGCATTTAAAGGCCTTCCTTCTGCCTCCGGAGAGATAGATTTACGGTGGTGGAGTGCTTTTTTTGGCTGTAGCTGGTATAATCTTTCTTATAATCTTGCCTATTTTCCAAGCTGTGTTCCTTGGAGACAGCAGGAGTACTGGGTTAAATAGCTGTATTCTGTCTAATGTTGTGGGTGCATGGAATAATACTTGGCACGAGGTTTCTGAATGGTCTGTGTTGGCAAACGGCGGTGAACTCGTATGTGGTGGTTTTGCTGTTTTTTGCTGGGAACCTCTGGACTCGAACTGTGGGACTTGAAAATTATTTCCTTCTTTAGCTCTCTTCAGCATGGGGAGATTAAGTGGAGCTTTCATTTGGAAACACGCATGTGGCAAGAATGCCAGGATTAAAACCAACCAAACAAGAAACCCTAGCAGTGCCTGTGAGGAAAAATGCCCTGGTTGCTGGAGCCGTGACCTTTATGGAAGGAAGCAGAGCAGGGAGCTCCATGTCGCTACGTCCAAGCGTGCAGCGACAGAGCTCGGTTTGGCAGAGGGAATAGGAAACGGCAAAGACGGCGGCGTTGGAGGAAGCCGGGAGTGGAAGCGCTCCCTGTTATTCTGCAAATGCAGCTGACCTTTCCGCTGGCTTTCTAGGTCTGCTCTTTGTCAGAGAGAAACATCTGATGTTCCCAACCCGATCCTCGTATTAAAACAGGAATAGCGGGAGGTAGACGGAGAAAGGGTTGCCCTAATCCTTCTCTCAAATCCTCCGTACAGCGCGGGGATATTGTTACACATTTCAGTAAGGCTGCAAATACCAGCTCCAGCCAGCAGTACATGTTTCTGACCTCTCGCCTCGTCTGCTGGAGGACGTGCTCACTATCCAGGGCCTTGATAGAGCATCCAAAAGTGTTACCAGTGACCTGAAAAATAGGTGCTAACCACATATTGCTCTACTAGACTCGGCAGAAGTTGGGTTTGTATGGGTTTTGACAAGCAGTGCTATTAAGTTCCAGGTATTGTGTAATTAAAGAAATTGTGCTCTTGTTCATCTGCTGGAAAAACATTTTCAATGGGGAAGATAATCCAATATAATTACACATTGCAGAAGTAAATTCATTGGGGACCTTTTGCAGACTGAGGCTCATCTGAAAAGGAAAAAATTGTCTGTTGAACTTCGTGTAACTTGGCTGAAGTGTCAGTTACGTTTTTATCAGTTATGCTTAAGCTGTCCGACCAAATACTATGTTTTGAAAATATAGCTAGAAAATTGCATTTTCTAATGCTTTGAACCAGGAAAAGCCCTCACTTTGTAAACAACTTTTACTGCTAGGGTTTCTTGTTTGGTTGGTTTTAATCCTGGCAGAGTGTTTTTAGTGACTGCAACTTTTTTTCTGAATGAGACTTGGTTTCTGGGAAGTAATGGGTTTGGAAGGCACTTAAGTTCACTAGTCGGTCATGGAAGTGGATATAATTGGCTTTTTAAAGTCGTGCTGGTATCTGCTGGACCCTAGACTGCCTGTACAGAGGTGCAGATGTGTTCTGGGGAATTAAAAATCATTAAGGTGCTTGGTTTGCACAGCAAGTGGAAACTCGGCAGCGTGTTTGTGATACTCCTTGGGGGAGCTGAATCCCCTTTGAGCAGCATGGAGACATTTAATATGGGGTACAGCTCGTGGTGGAAAACACCTCTGTCATGTTATGGGGTGGCTTTGAAGCCCTTTTTCCAAAAATAACGGATCGGAAGCAGATGCTGCATGGCCCATGGGTAGGAGATGTAGCAGAGCTACTGGAGAAAAGATGCTGCTAGCAAAAATGCCGGTTGGGTGAGCGCATGAAGTGCATGAGATAGAAGCCTCTGGGAATGGAGCTCATCAGCTCGCGGCCTCCTGTATCCCTGCTTGCTGCCTGGGTGTAGCAATCCCTGGGTTGCTCAGAGGCCTGATTTGTCAGCCTTGCTTGTTGCCTGCCTTAAACTGGGGGTGCCCTTTCCAAATGGAGGGTTTGCTCGACGGGCAGGGGCTCCGAGTCTTGCTCTGGAATAAACACGGTTTATTTGCCAGAGCAGCACAGTTCATCAGCTGCCCTCCCTCCCTAGCTGATGAGCAGCAGAGGGTTTTACGGTCATGAGGGTAGAAGTGACCGTACGTGTTCAGCTGCTCATGCTCAAGCCTTGCGCTTGCCAACAAGCCTCTAGTTTTCCATGCATACAGCAAGGTTATAACGAGCATATGAACTGCTGCAGCATCTCTCCGAGCAAGTTGTCAAATTGAAGCCATCTGTCGCACAAAGCCTTTAGAAGCCGTATGATGCAGTGGCTCCTGCACCGTGTAACGCGCCGTGCGCCTGGAGCACCCGAACGGCGCGTCGGGGTCGGAGGGAAAGCGGCCATTGTGTGGCCAGTTGAGCAACAAAGGGCCCCAGCCTGTTGCCACGTGCAACAGCAACCAGGGCTGCCCGGGGGGCATCTCTGTCACGGCGCTGAGCTGGGTGGGAATGAGCTCCAGCTTGGCTTGCACATGTTCACTCGTGGGCCTGGAGGAGACCCGATACACCTCGGAGAACTCTGAGAAACCCGTGGGAAGATTAGGGGCTTTCAGCAGTGTCGTCGTGGCTCAGGTGGGATCGGATCAGCTGGGCTTTAGTTCCTGGTCCCCTCCAACAACAGTGAGAAATCACTTCTCTCTGAGGGATGCCTTGCGTTGCGAGAACTCTGTTGGCCTCAGAATAACTGTTGTGGTTTTACTGTCACATCTGTATTCTAACTTTTTTTTTTTTTTTCATTTTATGTTATCTACTGAAAAAACAGTTTTGGTCTTGAAGAGGATCCTCGGAAAGGAATGGGCCCTGCTCTCCTGAAGCTGTTTGCCCTGATCCCAGGAATGCTCTAGAGGTTGGTGCCTGGGCTGCTATAGAACCTTTGCAAGAATTGCCTCTTGATTTGTAATTACCTCTCTTTGTTTGATCCTGTGGGAAGGAGCTAATATGCCTGGCAAGGAAAAGGGGTTAATGTAGGCCCTGTTAGATCATGGTCCATTTTCCCCACCAGACAACATTAAGCGCTTGGTTTATTGTGCAGATATTGAAGAAATACATAGCTGGTGACTGCAGAAGTTTGTGTGATACCTACTCTAAGTCAAGCTGAGTTAAACTTAGAAGTTTTAATTGATAGTTTTTTTTTTTAAAAAAAAAGAGCAAAATGTTATGTTTTTGGTTTTTGTTTTCGTTTGATATTTAAGCCCTTCTCATTTGAGAGCAAGTAGCTCCTGCTCTTCAGTGAACAGCCTGGGAGTGGTCTGTATTAACCTGGACTGGCTCTATTTGTATCCGGAATGGCTTTGGGAGGTTCCGTGAGCATGTTTCCTATTAGCTGTATGGTCCTGCTACAAACGTGAGGAAAACAGAAGGAAAAGTGGTAGGCAGATTTAAGTGTTCCTAGACAAAGAAGCGAATTTCCACAAGGAGAGCCCAGTTAAAGTCAATTAAACCCTTCTGGTTACTTCAGAGGATGTGTAAAGTTTATTAGCTTAATCTGCACGCGCAAATGTTACTGTATGGTGTTGCTATTTTACAGTAACATCCAAGCTTCAGTTGTATGCTAATATAGAGTCAGAGCAAAAAGAACAACAAAACCAAACAAACAAAACCCCTATTTCTTTGGTTTTGTACTGCACTATGTGAGGGACACAAAGCAAAAAGATGACCTTATTGAAAAAGGCCCATTAGTCCTAGGAAATGCTGGCTGGCATAGCTCCCTCAGGCACACAGAACCAAACTGCAGTTCTTGCAAGACATTCCCTTTCTTACAGGAGAACTTTAATTATTCATACGTTATAACCATCTTTATCTTGTTTGGTATGAAAATAAAAGTTTTAAAATTCAAAGATGTGCATCACCTGTTATTTAAAAAAGCAAATAAATAAGAAATGTGTCTGTGCCCCTTTGGGACCCCTGGTTCATGCTGACTCTCTTTCCGCCTGCGGTGTAAGTTGGCTGAGGCCACACTGATAATAGTAAAAATCACGAGTGGGTTTAGAAACACAGAGATGATAATGAGATAATGGCAGAGAAAAGAATTTGCCAGGGAGAAATTGTGTCAAGCTGATTTAGTTGGCTTCCCTGACACATCAAGTGGATCACGGAGTAAGGGAGGGAAGGGATAGAAATGATACAAACTTAAAGTTTGTGGGGTTTCAGAGGAGGTTCTTTTAGAAGCAATTCATGCAGTGATTTTTTTTAATTTTTTTTTTTTGGTAGCATGATCTTTGTCTGCATTAGTCCATAATGACATCTGTGATTTAGGTCATGGACTGCAGTCTACCTAAAAAAAAACAAATTGCAGATGATGTCAGTCTGGGAGTTGACAGCATAGGCACCACAAAGGGTTTTTATTAAGGTGTTTGGCTTTGTAATTGGGATGAGCTAGGAGTTTGCGCATGTTTCGTTGCCATGAGTCAGCTGATGTTTATTTGTTATACCACAGTATAGTAAAGCCAGTACCTATAAACTATTTAAGTTTGAGTCTCTTCCAACTCAGGCCTTTATTTGTAGTATTTTTCTAAATTCTTGTAATAACAAAAGCACTGGAAACTAAGTTTCTGTTTGAGGTTCAGGAAAGGTGTAAAGGAAAAAAAATAGTGCTCAAGAGGTTTTTAGTTTGACATTTTTTTAGTTGTGTTGGAAACTGTACATGAAAAAAATACCTTCTATATCCTTTCCATGCTTGCTGTAGATTTTATCTACACCCTGAGCACTTCAAGTAAGAAATTGTCCTTATGTTTGTATATTCAAAGTAATTCCTTTAGTCTCTCACAGGGAGAAAAGGTAAGAATAGGTAACAATGCTCTAGAAGGGCTTTTGTAGAATAAGATGTGAAATGTGAAATTAATAGTCATTGGAGGTGGTGTTTGAAAAGTGTGACAAGTTGCCTTAGCCTGTGATTGAAAGGGATGTTTGCCTGCCTTTTGCATACACGTTGCACCTTGCAAAGCTGTTGCCAAGTTCTGGCAAACGATGAATTTCCTGACTTCCTTAGAGGTGAGCTCCGATATTTCACCCAAGCTCTGGTTTTCCAAACAGCAGTCATTGGGGTCCACAGTGAGAGGGGAAAAATGTATCTCTGTTGAACTGGACCATGAAGGAGCTGCTGTCTGGTTCTGCAATTGCTGCTGCAGTTTTCATGGCTTATTGGTGTATGGCTCTCAGGTTTGGCATCCTAGCAAACATTTTCCAGCAAGACTGCAAGTTCAGTTCGTCTATAGGTACAGCCTTCAGCAGCAGAGAGCTTGGGCACAGGTTGTGCTGTTCAGTGCAGTGAATCAGGTTTTGGGGCTTTCTCTTGCTTTGTTATAACTTTTGAGTAAGCTGCCCGGGGGAAATCAAGGTGCTATAGGTGCAGGAATAGCTCTTCAAAGTGCTGCAAGATCGAACTTTGATATGCAGCAATTTTTCCAAGCCAGGAAATAGCCATATTTATTCCTCTAATGTAGAAGCATTTCACAAATCTTTCCACTCCTGGGGAATATATGGGTGCTGTGAAAGGCCCCATACCTCAGACTGGAAGGGAGCTTTCCTTGGAAGTTGTCTTTTTTGCCCCTGAGTAATTTGGCAGAGGTGTACAGCCACTTTGGTTCTGCAACTGCTTGAAGTTGGCAGTGCGACTGTACAGCTACAGTCTCTAACATACAGGATACACTCTTGTGCCAAGGGCTGTTCATAT